GGAAATTCTTCCTCATTTCTGACTGAATCTGCCCAGGCACAAGACAAGGAACCAAAGAACGAGACCTTGAGGAGCACCTGGGATATTTTAGAGCAGCCAACCTGTGAGTTGTTGGTTGCTTTTATAACAAATTTTTCTGAAACTCTCAGCATTTGAATTTTTTTGTGTGAGAAGAAGGACCAGACCTTTCGTAACATTGCTTTTTTCTCCAGCATCAACAGAATAGCAGTAGTTGAAAAAAAGTGAGTGCCTCTGAGTTAAGTGAGTAAAAGTCATCAGAAGAAATCACTTCACTCAGAGACAGTTCATCCTGGAAGAATTTCCTTTCACAGAGGTTACTATAGTCCTGCTGGCAGTACAAGCTTTGGTGATAGATCAGATTTTAGCAATTCCTTCCTTCCTTGTCACATTGTTTGGCTGGATATTGTGCTCATGGTCTGCCAGCTACCCAGAAATGCTGTTTGAAGGTACCTGCCGTACTGCAAGAAAGTGGTAGGTTTTGTAAAGCTTGCAGTGCACAGCCATTCTGCACAGTTGCACAAGGAGCCTTCCACCTGGATGTTGTTGGGCTGGTAGTAAACGCTTCAATCAATTGCTATCCCAACTGGAATGAAGTTAGGCCATTCTGCATGGTGTAAGAAAGACCTGATTATGCTATAAAGCACATATACATCCTGAATCATCCTGAATGTAATTCTGTATTGAAATGAGAGAGACTGAATATGATCTGATTCAACATGAACATCAAAGTTTTGCATCAGTTTTAAATAACTGATTCTCAATTGATGTGGATTAAGCAGATTAGTATGAACATACCAAATTTAGAAACAGGACAATAAGCATTAATGTCCAGTAAATTTAAGGTGTTTAGGTTGTTGAGTGAGCATTTTAATGGCCTACAGCGTATCCATCTATACAGTCCTGCTCAGATGCTGGTGCTAAGAACTGTTCTAGTCCTGTGCCATATGCCACACAGGGAGCCAATGAGAAGAGCCAGGTGAGAGCAAAGGAGTTTCTAATTACTGCTTGTGTTTCCCCACTTCTAGCCCAAACTTCTGGACAAAATACAAAGTGAGCTGTCAAGGAAAGGCACTCAAGCCATATGCTGGAAACATCACAAAGCTTTGCTGGTTGTATAAAAATCGCTGCACATGGGAACAATAACTCTTTTTGAAAACCAAATAACTACTCTGATCTAAATCAATCAGGCTTGAGAAAGACAGAAAAAGGCTAGGAATAAAATGGAGAATAAAGAAAGCATGCTCTCTGTGACCTGCCCTTCACAGAGCTATAGTTTTTATGGGTAAGCTGAACGACCTTTTATGCCAAGATTTTTACCCAGAAGCTACATCTCTGTTGGAGATACAGCTCTGTGCAGGCAGGAACCTCCAGCAGGAGGCCAGCTCTCTTGGCACGTGGAGTGTCACCTCAGAGCATCACCTCCTGCCTGTGTAGGCCATACTAACCTCCACGTTCTCATTAACCTCCTTTCTTCATTTCCAAAGTATGACAGTTTGAGAACTGAACTCAAGACAGTAATTTGTACAGAGCTGTGAATCCACTGCTTTTTTTTTCATATATGTCATGTCAAACGCAAAGGTAACAGAATTTCTCTGTTAACTTTGCATGTTCCAACTGCAAAATTATTTGAAGGCATAAAGACAGCTGAGTAGATTTAAATAGATCTAATTTGCTGTTTCTGTGCAAGTGGAGCTTTAGAGACTTTTAAGTACATTATTGTACAAAAAGCCAGCCTCGGAGAGGAGACAACATGTTGGCAGCCTGCGCACCGCACAGACAATCAGCAGAGGCAGACCTTCGCCTTTACCTGCACATCTTCCTCTGTAACAAGCCAACTGACTTCTGACTATGACTTGAATGCAACAAAGATACATGCCAAAGCTAATATTATGAGCACATGAACTCAGAGAGATAGACCTCAGCTTCCCTCTCTTGCCAGGGCTTTTCCTGTCAGGTTGGTGCTGGGACTCATCTGTGGCCAGCTATGTGCCTCCCATGCACCCTGAGCAGATCCAGCCAGGCCCAGAGACACCATCTGCAGGATCAGCATCTCCTTGGTTCTCTTTAAAAACAACCAACAAGAAGAGATGAGTCTAACTTGCATCAGGGCTCCAATCCTGCTTGAAACTCCTTTGTGGCAGAGACACTTTATGCTGCAACACGGCAGATAAAAAAGGCAGAGCTGATATTTCAAATGCAGAATTGCCAGTTGGGGATTCTTGTAGGAGAATGTGAAGGTGGGAAAAGAGGGCCAGGAGACTGATCTGGAGGAGCACAGAACAACTAGAGAGAGGGGAATCTGCAGCTGAACACTTCAAGGTCAGCCTCAGTGTGGTTATCATTAAATGCTGCATACAGAAGCCAGAATAGAACCACATGATTGTGTACTATTTGCTTGTTTGTTTGTTTGTTCAGCTAGCATCTGACTGCTTCCTCCTTACCAAACTGCCCCAAAGCTTTGTATGCAGCAAAACTTCAACAAAAATCTTGTGTTACGATCAAAGCCAGTGACAGCAAATGGTCAAAGCAGAGGCTATGCTGCACGCAGCTCCAGTAAGCTCTGCATTACATGTGTGGGGGTGTATATAAACAAAGTCCTCGTGATGCACTGACAGCAGTGAGATCCATGAAATATGCTGCTCAGGGAGCAGTGCTGTGCTGACAGACACACATGGCGGCTGTGGGACCAGTTGCAGGATGGCACCTCTTTGGGAAGGGCCGCGTGCTGGTTGCCATGCTGAGCCCTGTGTCTTGCATCTATTTTGTTCATGTATGGAAAATACTTTGTGTAAGATTTCAGATTTTCCCTAAAAAGTAGCATAAAAAGTGATTATGACAGGTCCACTGCCTGGTGGTTTATACTTAGTCTCCATGAGTGACTCCCACTCAGCTCATTACTGAAGTGCAGATAGAGACACAGCGCGTCTTACTGGACATGAGAGAGGCCTATACCCAGCTCTCCTCCATCACCACTTAAAATCCTCATTTGGCTGTTGTGGACTTGTCTTAAACTTTTCCCGTATTCCTGCTAGGTCTCTGTTCACAGATGCACTTTTGGACCCAAGGTCTTCTGCCTACTCCATGCCATGTATGGCAGACTCAGCCATGTGGGTCTGCATAACAGTGCTTCATGGCCAAAGCTAACTAAACTTCCTCAATATGAGCAGCTGTGTTGTGCCTGTGTAATGCAAAAACTGGACAAAATTACACCTGTTTCTTGAGAAAACTCCTAGACTCCTAGGAGCCTGTCTACAGCTCTGCTTTTCTGTTTCTCTCCCACATATTTCTCTCCTTCTTCATCTTTGCCTGAAACATTTTCCCTGTTCAGCTCCCCTTTACTGGTGATACATCCTCTGCTGCCATTACTCTACTGCTTTGATGTATTCATGTTCTTCTACCTGTTTATTCTTAATTCCTTTCTTACTTCTATTTATTTTGGATTTAGCTAAATCCATCATTTGCATCTGACTGATGGAGGATGAGAAGGTTGTGTTTCAAATGACTCCTTTCCTCCTTAAAAGGATGGTGTTTTACAGAACTCAGCATGAGAGTTTTGATGCTGTCTAGAAATTTCCAAAGAACATGTTCTGTATCATCTCATTACTGCTCAAATATTTGTTGGTTATTATTAACAAATTTGATTATGGTGGGTCAAATTGTATGTGAAATATACAGTGTTCCTTTTCTCTCATTCCTCCAAATAGCTATTTGTGCCAGTCATGTACTGCACTGTGAGCCAACAACAGTCCCAGAACTGCCAAAAATGCAGTTCAAGCTGAAGTCTCCCATATTTTTGGTCTTTCCACTTGCTCCCCAGCCAACATCCTCAGCTTCCCTTTGAATCCCTTGCCCCCATGACATGCTTAGGTCTATGCAGTGTCCTGCTGCCTGTCCACAGCCCCTTCCCCAGCAGCAGGCTCCATAAGTAGGACAGGGCTTTCCAATTTGCTTTGTGTGGTTGTTGACAATCCGCTCTTTTAGATGGTGGGAACCACTGGTGGAGGAGGAGGGACAGCCATATGCTCAGTGCACCCACTGTGGGAGCAGGGCTGAAAGGAGCAGAAGAACAAAAGGGAGCAGAGATGTTTTGGAATGGATGAGGTAAAAAAAGTTCGGAACACAGATGCAGGAAGACCAAGATTCCCGATTACTGTGAGTTGTGTGCTGTCCTGCTCCAGTAGGAGCCTTCCTCTAAAGCTGGTCAGTACATCTGCACTGTTCACACTTCTCAGACCTGCAGCTTTCCAGGCTTGACTAAAGCAGATAGCCATCAGAACACCTTTTGTGGCTGATGGCAGACGGTGACCAAGACGAACTTTGCAGCAGCTCTCCAGCTGTGGATGCCAGATGGTGCTTCTTGAACGAAAACAAAGTCAACTTTTTGTTGGCTCAGTGGGCTTCCATCAGCTCAGCTGCTACCACAAAAGCAGGAAGGTGGTATCACAACAACTCATTCATTTCACACTATATGTTTCACAGAAGCTTTATTAGTACATTTTTAATGGAGATGCACAAAGACTTGTGCCTAAGAATAACTTTGTGGACACATGAACAAACTTTTCCTCACATACCTCAGATCTCAGAGAGAGTGGTGAGGTGCTGGAACAGGCTGCCCAGAGAGGTTGTGGATGCCCTGTCCCTAGAAGTGTTCAAGGCCAGATTGGATGGAGCCTGGGCAGCCTGGTTTAGTGTTAAATGTGGAGGTTGGTGGCCCTGCATGTTGCAGGAGGGTTGGAGATTCATAATCCTTGAGGTCCCTTCCAACCCTGGCCATCCTGTGATTCTGTGATTCTGTGATCTGCTGGTATGACAGAAGAGTCAGACAACATGTCTGATGGCAGCTTTTTTGGCTTGTTTTTTGCCCTACACTGATGTGTTCCTGTGAAATCCGATCAGTGATAAACCCCTGGGGTTGAACTACTAGCATTTTACATCCTCCCATGCATGCAAACAGAGATGCATCTGTTCTTATCTCATAGGCTATGGTAGCAAGAGACAAGGAACACTGTGTCCATCTGTCCATCACAGATGAAGGTGGGGAGGACTCTAAGACAATGCAGAGATTAAAGGAACTTCTCCCAAGAAGTTAAGAGAGTGCCTTAACAGTTAAGAGAAACACATCCAAAGTAAGTTCAGCCTTTTGGCTGATATTTTGCAACAACATGTATGATGGAAATCAGCATTTTACTTTCTTCAATAAACACCACAGTGTAAAAGCATTGTTCAGAGTTTTATGCTATTACTGTCTGGAGTGTTGGTTTTTATGGTGCCATATGCATTTGTGGTATGGACAAGTTACAGTTGCTGTGGGAATGTTAGTAATGAAATTTTTGAGTTCTCAGTGCTCAAAAATCTCAACTGAGTTATAAAGGAGGCTTGTTTGCATTTCATTTCCTTAGTTAAACACAGAAAAATAATTCCCACAATCTTTTGTGGCAAAATCAGCCGAACTAACACTCCTTCATGTTAAAGATCTGCTTGACTTTTTTTCCCCAACATATATCTCATGTGTAACTCTTTCCTACAATGATAGCAAAATCATTTTGAGTAGATCTGGGGAAATGCAGAGCCCTTCTGCCACTGTTATCTTCCCATTGTTTCAACGTAAGTCCTGGAAATGTAAAGTTGTGTTTAGGGTACAGAGGGAGAGTCCTGAAACCTGGGATTTATTTCTGGTCTCAGACAACCTTGAGCTGCTCCCCTGATCTGTATGTTTTTGGTGTTGTTTCTTTTGTTTGTTTGTTTTGATTTGACAATCTGTTAAAAGAAACTTTTGCTGCCTATACATTCCCCTCTCCTCCACCCCCGGGTTTACTCAGTAAGGAGTTTAAAGTGCTATTGGAAACCTGGATGAAGTTGAGGTAGGAGATGGAAAACTCCAGGTTAGTGTTTTTTCTGTCAAGTCTGTTTGGGGAATTTCAAAGGAGATTCTTTTTCCCCTAGAAAGGTATCACAATGTTATGTTTTAAAGTGCTGGTTCCCCCAGCTTATGTCCCCTTCCTCTTTTCTACCAGTGTACATTGTCTGACATTCATCAGCATCCTCTTCTTGTTCAATGGGACAGCCCAATATCATATCCCCAGCATGTACATGAGTAAAAGGTTTTGTGTTGTTATCTGTGCGCTGAGATTGAACACTATCTTATGAGTGTTTCTTCAATACTCATAACAGTAAATGGGAGGGAAGTTTATTGTTTTCACATCCCAATGTTGTTTTGTTTCTCTGGGAAATCTCTTTGGAGAAGATTTTTGGAAAGTTTCTGATACTTTCAGTTCAGATCTTCCCTCTTCAATTAAAATTAGCTCTTAATTTCCATTATTAATCTCTGTTTGTCAGGAAAGGAATAAGATACAGGGTCGGAAGACCTAAAGGCAGCCACATATCTCCAAGAAAATAGTTCATTTTTTCCTTAACAAGGGAATAGTTGCTGTAGCAGAAGATGACCACAATATAACTGGGGTAGCTTTTTCAAGTTAGTCTGCCTTCCCTCTGGACCTCCTTCCACAAAGCAGATGACAACAACAAAGGACTTAACTGCAGGCAATGTCCCATTTAGAAAGGCACTTTGAGGATCTCTCCGTATTTGAAAGCAACCTCAATAGGAACTGTAGGCTAAAGTGTGCCTAATAAACTGTATGTTAGAGGCTAGGTACACATATGGCAGGAGTGCCTTTGCAGCAAAACTAAGGTATTTGTAGAGCTTGCAATCACAACAAAAAATGTTATTTTGAACTCAGAAAAGACAAAAGGTTGTGTTCTTGCTTCAGACACATTTCTAGATTGCATGTACAAAATGCATAACCACATTGCTGCTTTCCAGTCTATTAAAACTGCAGTCAGGCCAGATCACTATAATACAAAGTGCATGTGAAGAGGTGGGATGGGCACCTAATATTCAAGATATAGGCATATGTATAGGAAAAGACAGAAAATACATGAGGATTGATAAGAGATGGAGGGAAAAGGGCATAGTCTGAAGTTAGCTGAGGAAGTGAAACAGATTAAAACAGGAAAAGACAAAGCAATCAAAGAAGAAAAGAAAGTATAAATAGCAGAGATTCAGAATAATGGATAAGACAACTTATAATAAAATTGATTAATGAATTGCATGGCCATTATCAATGACCAAAAATGGATGATATTGAGCACAGGAGTCTCCAATCTGCACTCCTTTACGGATCCTGGCATTTCAGAAACCTGAATGTATTGAGGAGATTGGATGGGAAACTGTGGATAACAGGTATCTCCACTACTCCAGGTCTATCTACCCCAAAGTATGTGCATTAATCACCAATCTTAGAATCAGAAAATAATGTGGTTTTGTGAGAAAGAAGAGGCGGGGCTTGTGTGTGAATGAAGGGTTTGGATAGAGCAGCCTATGAAGTAAGAAGAGATGGTCAAATGTGGGTAAAAAGATGATGGAAATACTTTATCCTTCATCATCATCTTCCTACTCATACATCCCATAGCACTCTACAGAGATGTAATTGCTGACTACAGAACCAATATGAAGTTGATTTAAGTAAAGAATACATATTCAGTTGACATTTGTTCTACTCCCAATTAAAAGAGTACTTAAATTTTATATCCTGGGACTAATTCTTAACATCATTGACAATATCTATGTTTATTTAAATATACATCTTCATATATACCTTGTTTTTTCATTTGCTGAAAATAGAGTGATCAAAAAGGGAGAGAGATGATTGTTTCAGGTTATGCAACCAGGACTGGTTTCTGAAAATGTCAGCAACTTGCTTTATATATAAATCTGCATTTGAGAAAAATCAACACAGTCTAAACAAGAAAAAGAGAGAATAATAAATTCTGATTGAATTACACTATGAATAGCATTGATTAAATGGAAAAGGACAGTGTGTCCCATTTCTCTGCTCCTAGCTCTTGAAGAATTCTTGTTTCCCAACTGTGAATCAGTTGTTATTCTAATTATTCCCAACACAAGTCTTATCCTGGACAATGTTAACCTTTCAGTTCAGAGAATACTAATTCTCTGTTTCAAATGTCATCTGAATTCCGAAATTTCTAACTTTTCAAGGTTCCAATTACTTCTGTCCTAGTGGACTAACTTCATAAATGAGACTTACATGCTTAATTACAACAGTGAAATTTTCTTCAGTCATGAAGATCCTTAACTGGTATAGCTTTGGAAGTGTGGTGACAGCTCTGCCAGTCATGGATCTGACCCATACAGTCCCAGCGGCTTACAAATTCTCTGCAAAGTCACTGTCAACTGTGTTTCCTTAATACCTTGCAGAATGGCTTAGCAACTGGGAAGAATGAGATTTCAACTGACTGTATAATCTACTTTTTTGGCTGGTTTTCTTTGACTCCTGAAAAATCACAGAATAAATCACTAAAATGCTGTTACATCTGAAGACGGGGCATAAATAAAGCTTTTATCCAATCCCACCCTCTCCCTCGAATTTAATGATTCATATAAAATGAAACAACATCCAAACCACCCCCAACTTGTTTTTGTTTCTGCAAAACCAAAACCTGAGTGATGAGGTTTTGCAAAATTCAAAACCCAAACCACTCCGGTTTGTCCATTATAGACATGAGACTAAACTCAGAAACTTTTATCTGGGCTCTCCATCCCCTCTGGACTTTGGTGGTTTGGCTAAAAATGGAACCTAGATTTAAACCATTCCTGATTTGGGTTGTGCAAATCATAACTTGACTAATGTAGTTCTTCAAAACCAAAACCATAACATGGCCTTCTTGTTCCATCCCTAATTAAATTAAATACTTTTTGTCCAGAGCATTATGGAGACCAAAATGTACAGACGAATATTATCAGCACAACACAACCTTTTATTTTATTCATTCCCAAAGGGTCTGATCCTGAAATCACAAAACCTTCTCTCCTCATCAGACCATACTTGTGGGCATTTGAAGACAGACTTCTTCTTTGAAGAGGGCTGTTGCTGCTTTCATTTAAAATATGGGAACTTTCATGGAGGTTCATTGAATCCAAATGTACCATTTATCACTTGTATTTTCTGGGTACTTTGTTATTCCATGTACTTACAGGTTATCAGATGTCTCCTATTGCAGGAGGAGCTGAAGAAGAACAGAATTGTCTATGACACTTTTAACAGAAGTTTTCAGGCTGTTTGTTTGTTTTTTTCTTCAGTATTTTTCAGCCCTCAAACATCAAGAAGTCTGGTTCTATAAAAACAAGGCTCCTTGTATGGCATTTTCTGGCATCTGTGATAGACTCTATCATTTTCTTGCTTTTCTTAAGAGGGTGATTCCCTGAATAAAAGCATCTGATACAGTTCCTAGAGTAGTCTATCTAACCTTCTTGTGCAAGGGTATAGCAAGTTCTCTAAGGACTTTCTGCAAAGCTTGGTATACACTACATTTCTGCTTGTGATGGATGCCTGCTTTCTTAGCTTTGGCACAGTTCCTCCCCTCCTTTGCTGCCACAAACAGGGTCCAAAGGCAGCACATTCTGACCTCCCAACTGTCTGTAGACTACTTTGAAAAGAAAAACAGTTCTGCTGGCAGTAGAATTTAAGGCAGTATCGTGCACTTTGCCTCTTCAGCATAATGTTTTAGGGGGCCTGCAAATAGAGACATGCCTGAAAACCACCATCAGCATTCACAGACAGCTCTCCTGGAGATCTGGGAAGGGAGATCAGTGCCTCTCAGAAGCCAGCTCCACCCTGGCTCTCTATGGAGAGCTCTCTCCCGCCTGAGGACCTGCTGTTTTCCCAGTAGCTATGCTAACAGACTAGTAATCCTTTTGTTAGGTTTGTGGGACGCTTGCATGCTAAATTTAACCTAATGCTTCATTTCATTTATTTAGCTGCATCCCATTTTCTGATGTTTTTCTTGTTTGCTACAGATAAACTGTTGATATTTATGTTTTTCTGCTGCCAGCAACCTCTGCTGATTTTTTTTTTTTTAATTCATATATAGATTTCAGTGGACCATTCTGAAGGCATAATGCAAAGGAAAGCTTTTTGAAAACAACATTCACAGAATAATAAACTCCACACTTTATATAGTAAAACGTTTGACCTATCAATAATATTTTTCCCCCTTTACTCTGAGTGCTAAGACCTGTATCATTTCTGTGCAACTACAAGTTGTTTGGAGGAGAAACAGCCCCAGAACTGGAGCAAGCTGCACACTTAACCAGATAGCTGGCACAATTACAGTTACACCACAAGTCAGCTTAGACTAAGACATTAAATGAAACTCAAAGCCCAGTGTCTTTTTTGCCTTGAGCAATGACTTTTATCCAGTATGTTCTCTTAAAAAGAAACAGGCTAAAAGCAAAGGACAAAAAAGTACTCTTAAAGTTAAACAATGAAACCCAAGCCAGCAGTGCCTCCTTACACTGCCTGTGTGCTCCAGAGAAGAGATGTTGTGGGTTTGTTTGCTCTTCTCATCCACAGTTCAGGACAGGAGCAAAAAGGAGAATTTTGTTTCATGAGAAGAGAGAAGGATCGTCTTATTTCTCCTCTTCAAAGTTAGGAAGGAAGAGGCAGTCAAGTCAAGAGTAGGGGAATGGAGGGAGATCATAAGAGAGAGTTGTGCCTTCCCTTTGACATTATGGACTCCCTTCAGAAAATCTCACCACTTACTTGTTAAAACAGATAAAATTTCTTTCCTTTGCCTTGTATCTTCCACTTGACCCAGACCATCTCTTTCCCAGACTTCCTTTAGTATAACCAAAATACATTGCTCTGCAGTGCTCCCACCTGTTGGTTGGTTTGCAGAGCTGGGGTGGAAGAGTAAATGTGCATGCCTTATGTCTGGGTCTCTGCAGTACTGCACATCTGGGTAATATTAAACAAAGCTGGGGCGGGAAGTTCCAGTATAACAAATCATGTGAGCCATAAGAGCTCAGCTTAGGTCCTATGCATGTGTTTTCAAATCTAATTTGAAGCAAACCTTTTCAGACTCATACTTCAGTGATCTTTTGCCTTGTCTAAAAATTATGTAACTCCATTGCTTTTCATACTTAGGACCATGCTATTACTTGGCCTACCCTATTCAGGCTCCCAAAACAAAACTATGGTTAGCAATTCAGATATTTCCCAAACAGAACAACTACCATTGTACAAGTTTTTGTCAGGACTAAGTTTTTGTCAGTTGCTAAAAATTTGCCCTGGTGCAGAGCCAGACCCAGCCCTAAAAGCTTATGGAGGAAGAAAAACCCTTGTATGGGCCTTTGCAAGTCCCCTTTGGTTGGGTTTACTTAGAACAGGCTGGGGAATATTTTTCACTCCAGTGGCCTCCATTTCTTATTAATATCAAACTAAGCTCCAAGGGAGACCCTGTGAATGTGACCTGCAGGAGGGGTTGCATGCCCTCCCTACCCCCCGTTCTCTTGGTGTTGCATGTAGATATGATCAGTGAAGAGAGAAATGAAGCATCACTTACAAGGCCACGGGGAAGAGGACAACTGTCCTGAGGGTCCAGAGAGGAGTAGCTTTAGAGTTTGAATGTTGATTTTTTCCAGTGAGAAAGGGTTAAAAAAAAGAAGGTAGTAAGAAGATACTTGTGAGAAAAATGCCCTCTGAAGACAGCAGCTTTGGAAGTATTTTCAAGAAATCCAGTCTTCAGGTCTGCTTACTGCATTTGATTGAGTTGCACTGTAGAGCTGCGGTCCCAAAAGATGTTAAAGCGTTCCTTCTGAGAAGGGTTAGCCTTCCTCTCTGCCATGAAAAACAGGTTTCCCAAAATCACATGTAGAACATTTGAGGCAGAACTGGCTTGAGCTATAAAGTTAATAGCATGTCCATAAATAAATGAATTATCATCAAACTTTCTGGTGGATCTCTTAAAATATTTATTTTTTAGGGGCAAGTTGGGTAATAGGTTTTCCTCAAGTCTTCAAGTTTTAGTGGGCAACAAAGAATGCAGAGTGGAAGCTGCTTACCAGATGTTCCACAGCCTGGAGAGATAAAAGGAGATTGTTTTTACAAGTAAAAACAGTGGCATGGTAGCTTACATGGCGTAAAATACATATTTTTATTAAGTCATTGTGCAGTTGGAAAAATAATTTTCCCTATTTCCCGGTAATAATCTGCCTCAGCTATTTATTATTACTATTATTGTTATTATGCTATTTCTGACTACTTCTTTATAACTATACAGCTCTGGCAAACATTAAGATTTATTTTTTTTAATTTACAAAAACCTTTTTGATTTTATTGCTTTAGTAATTCAAAATGGTATAATCTTTTGAAACTTAAGATCCATCTAACAAAGCCAAACTCATTAATAGAGAGAAAAATACCCTAACACTTTCAAGTTAATAAAAAGATTGGGAAATTGTTTACTGCAGAAGACATACCCAGAGACAACAGAGGATTCAGTTCTGAACTACTGTAAACGATCCTGACTATGCACTTTACTAATGGGGTTGTAAAGTTGACTGTAATTTTTTGAGTCAAATAATTCGGACAATTTGAGTGAAAGTCGTTACATCAGCAGAACAGCAAGATTGTAGAATCTTCTCATAGGATGTACCATCTTCTAAAAAATGTTCCATCATGTTTCTTCACAAGGAGAGTGGTTAGGCCCTGGAACGGGCTGCCCAGAGAGGTTATGGATGCCCCGTCCTTGGACGTGTTCAAGGCCAGGTTGGACGGGGTCCTGGGCAATCTGGTCTGAATGTGTACGTTTGGTGGCCCTGCTAGGCAGGGGGGTTGGAACTACATGATCCTTGAGGTCCCTTCCAACCCGGGTGATTCTGTGATTCTGTGATTCTGTGATTCCATCCTTTTTCACCTGAAGTAAAAGCTTTGAAATCTTGTCTAGTTTTTAGATGGCAAATATGGAAAACTGAAAAAGCAGAGAAAATGCTTTTTCATTTCATTGGTGGCAGATTGGAGCTCCTATTTTCTCCTGTCTCCAATTATCCACAAGTGTTTTTTCTTTTTGAGTTTATAGGTTCAGCTTGGTTGTGTGCGCTTCTATGTGTGCTGTTAGACCCTTTATAGCTTTTTGCTATTAAAAAAAAAAACAACACCAAAAACCCTAGAGAAGAGTTACAATATCTAATTTTTCTGTCACTTCTCCACCACTCGTTGGATGAATATTTTTCAACAACCTTACATAATCAGGATTCCTAAACTTATCTCCATTCAAAGAGGTTCTGTCCTACAATAGCTTTTCAAAATTGCAGGTGACCGCGGAGTGAAGGAGGATGTGAAATCTTTGCCATCATCCTGCAGAGGATGGATGAGGGGACCCTGAGCACACATGAAGTGGTAAGATTTTGCATTATGTCATCTTTAACAATTCAGATAAGCTATTTTCTTTTATTATGTACTGGACTCCGGTGATAGAAGCCATAGTTAGATGAATTGATTTGCAGTGACTTACATGCTTTTGTCTGCAAGATGCAGCTTGTTTACAGAGTTGAAACCGAATATGGCAGAATGATGCCTGAGCACTTCTGAAAATTCTTTGCTGTTTTGATTGCGATCAGGAGTAAAAGCACAGGTCTTGTGATGCTATTAAAAATCCTGGTCTGCATGAATTCTCAGAAAAGAGGTGGTAAAAGCCACTTCCCAAATATCTGTAATCTCATACATTGAATATGGTGGCTTGGATAGGACTAGCTTTGAGAATTAAACAAAGCTGAATCTGAAAAGTGGCCTGTTGCTGATTCTGTGAATGTAAGTGATATTAAAAGTAGCAGGTCCTTGTAGGCTTCATTACATCTAACAAAAATTATTGAAATGCCTGAGTCAGAAAACTTACTGTGATTTAACATGGCACAGTGTAGTGGAAATGCAAAGTCAGGGCTTGAAGCAGCAACTGAGCACCTGGTGAGAAGGCAGGGCCAACCTAGGGAAGCTCAGGTGCAGGAATGTACCTGAGCATCCAGAAGGGGTGGAGATAGACCCACCCCTTCCCAGACCTCACTTAAGGGTTGGCAGGGGAGGTAGGAGCTTCTTGATGGAGATCCCTGCCTACCTGAAGCCTCCTGGAGGTAAGCAATTTTTCTTCATTTCTGTACGTATGGCTGCTTTATTTGGGCTTGTCCTCTTTTGCTGTAGCCTAGGGCTTTGCCACCCTGCTATTGTTATTGTACTCTCCATCACGTTATCATGTTATGCAGATGCATTTATTTTTTTAGGTGAGAAAGTTTTATGTGTGATTTATGCTAATTTAAGGTAGAAGGCAAGGTAATTCATTTTAATGTTTGATGGGACCATTTTAAGAGCACTGTTAAATTTAAGACCCATGAATTTGAAAATTAAAGCTCTAGCTTCTGAACTCAAACTTGTGGGCCTATACTTTGCAGTTCTGACAATGCTTAATTTGTGGCATTCAGGGTTTAGTGTTTTCTTTCACTTTTAAAATCCTAAGTGGTCTCAGCAATTAGTGTGAGTGAAAATATATATTACTTATGAAGATCACAGAATTATATAATCTTTTAAAGATTGAATAGCCAAAACATAAGATGCTTATAGGGATACTTCTTCCTTTTTCCCTGCCATTTAAGGAATAGTAGGTAACTTAAAGATCTCAGTACTTAAAACAAACAAACAAAATCATGGAAGAAAAGTGTAGTTCCTTCCAAGAAAACTTGAGACTAGGAGGGAGGATTTCATTCGGTGGGGAAAAAAGTCATCTTGTTGAAAGGTAAATTCATGTGTATTTTCCACAGTTGTTTAAACAGGAGCCAAAGCAACATTAACAAATAGCAGAAGATTAAATTAAAAAGATTAGGGGCATTTTTAACATAAATACCAATCTGAGTGTTATTTTATATTTCAGAAAACAGTTAAGCATTAAAAGAATTGCTTGCAGTTTGAGATATCTATGAATAGCATTACTTCTAGTCCCAGATGCTCTGTGATTAGGAAATACATATTGGATTTGAAATTGCGTGTTGAATGATTTGAGGGTGAGATAGTTTGTTGACACGTGATTCACTAGGCGCATCATGTTTAGAAGCCTTTTATTCTTCAGTTGTTGGTTTTCCTAGAGCATGGCACAATCAGCTCTGTGCAGTCATGTGGATAGTGTCCTATGTACAGCAGTAAGTTCCATAGTAGTAATAGTTGACATGTGGTGTAATGCGTGTTTTATTTTTATTATTTTTCTGACTGTTCCTTTGAAATAAGCCCTTTATTTCTACTTCTTCAGATAAATAAAATCTCCCGTGAAAGACAGATCCACTTTGCACTAGGAATTGAGTGAGGAAACTCCCAATATGCAGAACAGGGCTCTTTACTATGTAAACAACTCCCAGTAGCTTTGAGCTAAAAGTCACATCTCTTTGAATGCCCTTCTGCCAAAAACATTTAGGAGATTGTGTTTGGGTCTGAGGCTGGATTGAAGGTTCACTCGGAGAGAGGCTTGAACAGAGGATGTTAGAGCTCCAGTATCTTCCTCTACAAGGGCAAGATTTAGGTAATACATTTCATGCTCTGTTGGAGGGATGACTGTGTCCTGTTTCTCAGATGGTACATCATTGTTCTGAGAGCTCTGCAGTCACTGAAGCAACAATGCACTGCTTTTCTTGATGTTTATCTATTGACCTATAGACAGTCTTAAGAAAATGTTCTTCACCAGAGTGTAGTCAGATGCTGGAAGGGAATTCTCAGTGCAGTGATTAAGGCCCTGAGCTGATGGAGTTCTAGAAGCATTTAGACAATGCTCTTAGACATAGTGGTTAATTTTGGTGGTCCTGTGGAGCCAGGAGTTGGGCTTGACTCTCTTCCCACTTTCAGCTTAGGATATTTTATGATTCTATGATTCTGAGACCAGTCTAGAGCATATTTGTTTTTTTGGATAGAGGGGCCTCTGCTTTAGACTGAACTCGTCCTTTGCAGACCTTTCCACAAGGCCCTATTCTTTGCTGCTCAAGTTCATTCAAGCTTCTTGTGGTATAACAAGTATTTTCCTTGTCCTTCCCATGAGGCTGTGTCTGGAACATGCTGAAATAACATCCTGAGAAAATGTCTCTGCAGTTAATGTTTCCAGTGTTTTCTACTGCCTTAGAGCATCCAAAGGCCCTTCCCCAGCTGGAAACCTAAAGGCATGGTATTTTCTGCACGAGGATTAAGAAGGAAATTCCATATATTGTGAGAAATACTACTTAATATATTAAAATGAGGTGGAATTTAGGCTTTGTGGGCTTAACATTGATTCAATGCCACAGCTTCTCAGCGTTTTTACTGCTGCACTGTATGCACAGACAAAGCTGTTGACTAAAGTCAACTTTAGGAGAGCAGGCAAAGCCAGCTTCTGCTTCTGCACACTTCAGGTGCTGCTGAAGGTGGCCTCTTTGGTGTAAGCACCAAAGGGTAAATTCAATTTGTGTATCCTGCTGAAGTGAAGTAACCAGACATCTCAGACTCCCTGCTTGGCCAGAAAACCTGTGATTTTTTAATAGCCATTAAAAATATATTTATTTTTTGCTGTTCTTGGCTGATCTTCTCCTTTCATGCTGATTAACAGTGTTCTGATCTTTTACTACTGCCTTTTAGTAGCATAACAGCCTTCCAAGATGGAAGAAGGCCATGCTATTCATCTAACTGGTATCTTATGTACACTGTAATAATTTTTCTTCCCTAGTTGCTGCTTCTGATAGTTTCTTCCTCCCATTCTACACATTTTATTTTAAATGTAGAGGTACTTAACTCTGCACAATGTTTGAACCTTTTCTTTCATTTTTAATTTACAGACTTGTGTTGCTGTTTGGTCTGCTTTTTGTCTGCAAATTGTGGACACTTGTTAGCAGTTGCAATTTCTTGACATTGGTAACTATTTCTCTTTTTATTCCAAATGAAATATTCTCTGATATGTGTTCTCGATTAGTTTGAAGCTCTTTTCTGTTAACAAGGAACAGCGTGACTCAGAGAGTGGGTAACGGGATGTGAAAATCTTTGCCACTCTCTTATTTTAGTGTGTTTGGACTAAGGAAGTTAATAGAATATAACGGTATGAGAAGGATTTACGTCATTGTTGAGTTGTGTATTTATTTATTTATGCATTTGTTTGCTCTATTTTGATTCTGAAAAGTGATTTTAATAGCTGTTAGAATGTGGCATTGCTAATGAAAATGAACAGACTGCTGTTGTGTTCTATAATAAAAGCAAATGTGTGTGGTAATGTTATTAGAGGGAAAAACTCTGCATGTGTAATCAATATTTTCCTTTCCTATATTCTATTCATAGTGAAACAACACATTTTACAGTCAAAACAGTTGCATGTAGCTAGCAGTCTGTTTCAAATAAAATCAAATTTGTTCTTCCAAGTGGCACACTGTCAGACCTGTCAAAGATATGTGTAGCAGGCACATATACATGGATCCCTTTAATGTGCTTCTTTTTCTAATAAAAAACCCTTATATGAACGGAAACTTTTGAAAATGAACTATAATCACAAAAATGCTTCAGCTTTTGCAGGTGAGTTAAGGAAATTCTACTTCACTGTATAAATCACTAAAAAAAATGTCTTGGCTTGCAAAGCTTCTGAACCCTGCTCCATGCAGTATTGAAGGATTATGGTTATAATGGAAACAGATTGTTGATTATGATTATTAATTATGTTTGAGGCAACTCTTACAACTGTCCTGACTACACAGGGGAGTAATTTGGTGGTAGTTATCTGAAGCTAGTGAGTTACTGCAACTAAAGGCATAGGGAAGTTTTATTTCAAAGTTGTTCTTGGTTTATAGTAAGAATATGTATTCTGTTTTTACTAAAAAGTTACATATTTTAAAATGCTTACAGAACATTTGCAGGGGCAAAAGCCTTGCTGTGCCAGGCAGTGCATATGCTCAAATGATGAAAGTAGTCTAATAGTCTTAGAGGTTGAAACAGACAGTGCAAAACATTGGAAATGTTCTACAGAGAGGGAATGGAAATCAGGATTCTTGAAAATGCTTCCTACTTTGTGCGCTTAAATCCCACTGAAATTTGTACAAGCTGAGCACCAAAATGCGTTGAGAATCTGGTTTGGGATGCAGGACAACTAACTTGAATTTTTTTCTTGCTTTCCGAGTGAACGAAAAAGGGAATGCACTGCATACTGCCTTTTGTTGACACCTTCCTAATGACTGGTCTGTGGGTATTTAGGAAATCTGGAGATGAGCAAAGGCTGTCTGAATGACAGTCTTTATCTGCTGGCACTATTGTCTGTCCTCTCATTCTTTCAGAAAATATTTCACGTGGATGTTATTTATGTAATTGCAGTTGCATTAATAAGATGGCTTTGTTTTAATATGAACCTATAAAGCAATCATGCA